TACTCTGCTTTCTCTCGCTCTTTGGAGACGAGCGGTCTAAATGTTTGAGTATGAAAGGAGATGAATAACCAAGGAAGCACTGGAGTGGGATGGTGGCCAAGGGCCCCAGCTGAGAAGTGAGGCAGTGCTCGTCAAAGTCTTTCCTCTACAGGCACCCTCGGGGTAGCTGTTCTCCTTGAACCATGGCCTTCATCGGCAACATGGGCAAAATGTTTCCTACTTGAGCTTTGGTCCCTTCCCCAAGACTAGCTGAGCAGAGTACCAGCTTTGCCTCCAGAAGGGCCCAGGCTCAATCCTTGACTTAATTACCATTCCCTACCAGAGGAAGTAGTGATGGCCAAAGACACAGATAGCTAGAGACAGATTCATGGAGGACAGGTTTAGCAATGGCTACTAGCCCTGGTGACTGAGGGGAACCTCCACATTCAGAGGCACTAAGCCTCTGAATCCCATTGCTACGAAACATCAGCTTCTGTGCCCTGTTCACCCTGGTTGAGGCCACTGTGTGAGACAGGATGCTGGACTAGATGGACCCTCAGTGGTCTGACCCAGCAGGGCTGCTCTTGTATTCTCATGAAAGGAAGGCCTTGACCTCTCTGCCCTGTTTGTTGGCCCTCCAGAGGAACTGGTTGAGGCCACTGTGTGAGACAGGATGCTGGACTAGATGGACCCTCACTGGTCTGACCCAGCAGGGCTCTTCTGATGTTCTTATGAGGGGAAGGCCTCGGCCTCCATGCCCTGTTGTTGGCCCTCCAGAGGAACTGATTGAGGCCACTGTGTGAGACAGGATGCTGGACTAGATGGACCCTCACTGGTCTGACCCAGCAGGGCTCTTCTGATGTTCTTATGAGGGGAAGGCCTCGGCCTCCATGCCCTGTTGTTGGCCCTCCAGAGGAACTGATTGAGGCCACTGTGTGAGACAGGATGCTGGACTAGATGGACCCTCACTGGTCTGACCCAGCAGGGCTCTTCTGATGTTCTTATGAGGGGAAGGCCTCGGCCTCCATGCCCTGTTGTTGGCCCTCCAGAGGAACTGATTGAGGCCACTGTGTGAGACAGGATGCTGGACTAGATGGAACACTGGTCTGATCCAGCAGGGTCCTTCTTATGTTCATTAACATCGTTCGATGAAAGGGGGAAATCAGGTCTCTCTTTCACCAGAGCAGATACTCTGACTAGGCAGACCATTGTATCAGGCAGCTCTATCCGTTTTCAGAGATTACCGAGCTAAATGCATGTGAAGATCCTAAAAAACCCACAACTCAAAATCACTATTGTACATGCTAAGGCACATTCTTCAAGGATATCAGAAAGAATATATTCCAGGCTGGAGCGATCAGAGTGAGAGGCTGTATCAAAATCTCCTTGACAGCAAGGATCCAGAAGTAGCAGATGAACTACTCCACAAACTCAACGCTGCACAGAGACAAAAATGGACCGAAATAACTGCGAATTTGGATTTCAGGCACTCCAGTAGGAAAGCCTGGAGCCTGCTGAAAAAACTAGGTGCCAGCCCACCTGTGCTTCGAGGAAATCCCTATCCAGAGCCCTGAAGGATCGAGGTTTTACAATCAGGATAAAAAAATAACTCCAGACTTTGAAACGTACCTGCCCTGAAGACTGTGAGCTATCAGGGGATTTCGGCGCTGATGAGATTTCCAAGGCACTGAAGGATATCAAGAGTGGAAAGGCACCAGGCCTTGACTACATCCATAATGAGTTCATCATCAACAGCAGCACATTCACTAAGTGGCTCACAAAGTTTCTCACTGACATCATGAGAACAGGAAGACTCCCAGGGGAATTCAAGAAAGCAAGAGAGCCAGTCTGGTGCAGTGGTTAAGTGTGCAGTCTCTAATCTGGGAGAACTGGGTTTGACTCCCCACTCCTCCACTTGCAGCTGCTGGATGACCTTGGGCAAGCCATAGTTCGGTCAGAGCTGTTCTCTCAAGAGCAGTCCTTGAAAGAGCTCTCTCAGCCCCACCCACCTCACAGGGTGTCTGTTGTGGGGAGGGGAAGGGAAAGGAGTTTGTAAGCCGCTCTGAGACGCCGAGTGAAGGGTGGGGTATAAATCCAATCTTGTCTCTTCTTCTTCAAAGATAGTTGCTATTCTGGAAAACCAAAGCATCTGGCAGAAAGTTTCAGACCTGTTTCCCTTCTGAGCTCCTGCTATACACTCTTTGAGAGGCTAATCCTGAGCAGAATCAGTGACAGAATTAACGGACATGCCCCTATAGAGCAAGCAGGATTTAGACCTCATTGTACTTCTGAAGACCAAGTTCTCAGCTTAACAACTTTCATTGAGACAGCCGTGTCTTAAGACATGAGCAACTTTCATCCATCTAACTGCCGCTTATGACACAGTCTGGAGGGATGGCCAGTTGTACAAGTTTTTACAGGTTTTCCCCTGCAGAGCATTATTTCAACTCTATAACATGCTGAGTGATAGAACTTTCCAAGTAATTATGGGTCAGACAATTAGCAAGCAGAAGAAACCGAGTAACGGTTCACCCCAGGGCTCAGTCCTCGCTCCAGTTCTTTCCGATCTATACATCTCTGATGTTCCCGAGATGATATCCAGGACGTTTGCTTATGCCGATGACATGGCCATTGCAGTAAGGCACAAATCAATGGAAAGGACTGAGGAAATACTGACTAGAGACCTCGGAATTTTGGCTGACTAATACCGTAAAATGGCAGCTCATTCCAAGTCCAGAAAAAACGGAACGCTCCTTTTTCCATCTCAGTAACAATCTTGCCAACAGTGAACTGAATGTCTACCTTAATGGCACCCGACTTACACACAACCATACACCTAAGCATTACCCTGGACAGGACCTTAAGATATAAGCACCACCTTACCAATGTAGCAATGAAAACACACACACCAAATAACATCCTGCCAAAATTATTGGTACAACTTGGGGTGCGTCTGCTACAACACTTAGATGCTCAGCTTTGAGATTGGTGTATAGTACTGCAGAATATGGTGCGTCAGTGTGGCTTAATTATTATTTAATTTTCACATACATAAAACATTAACATAAAACAATGTCCACAAACTTGAAGTCCAACTCAATACAACAATAAGAACCATCAGCAGAGGTATAAAACCCACTCTGACCTACGGGCTACCCACGTTGTGCCACATCGCTCCCCCACATCCCTGAAGACGTGTTCTTCTTCATGAATACAGAAAGATCATTGAAAAGAGAGAGCTGCCATCCACAAAGACATGGCTGACACAGGCCTATCCAAAGTAATGTCCCGACACCCAGCAATAAGATCTGCACAAATCCTGCAATCGCAAAATTTTGATCTAAGGAATGAATGGCCACAAAACATGGATACAATCAGTTCCATCCGATATCCATAACCTGATAAACACCACCGAGAGGCCCGCAGGATTTGGCCTGCCACGTAAAGCATGGAAGATGGCTGATAGAATACAAACAGGCTTCGTCAGTTGTGCAGACTTGTTGTTTAAATGGGGCAAAACACCAGGACCTGAATGTGATTGTGGTGCAGCCTGCCAAACTATTGTCCATCTGTCACAGAAATGTGAGCATCGTGCTTTCCAGGGAGATGTGACGGAGCTCTTTGAACTTTCCCCAGCTGCAATTGAGTAGATTGAAAATTTACATAGTAGTATTTAGTGAGATTGTTCAATCTTTCTGTATACTCGTATCAACTTGGTTATGTATTTTATATAATTATATGCTTCCTGTGTGTAATTCTTTCATACGATAAATAAATAATAATCAGTGCTACCCACTGTATTGGCTGTAAAGCTGGGGGGGGGGCTTCCTGTGCAGTAATTCCAGACGCTTCCCCTGAATGGTCATCAGCAAGGGAACAAATAAGCAGAAGGCAACTGAATTACAAGTTTATTACTTATATTTTTTTTAAAAAAAAAGTTAGACAGGGAAAAAAACAACAACAAAAAACAACAGAAAACGGCCAGGTAGTCCTCCTACCGCAACCCAACATAGGCAGACTAGCACCCTGCCCCTTTGCCCATCCTTCAGAGCAGTGAGGGACCCGCCTCCCACAAGATGATAACAAGGCTCTTTCCTTTACAACCCCTGCCCGGTTTGCCCTCAGCCATACCCTGTCCCGTCCCCCCAAGCTATGAGACACCACGGCACTCAGGGAGAGTGATGGTGCTTCACAGGTTTCTCTCTACTGGATTTCCCCCATCCTCATTGACCTCACTTGTGCATTCCTATTGCTTCGGGGGGGGGGGGGGGGGGGGCTGTTCCACACATGTTTTGCCCCCTCTAGTGGTGCATTCGATATTACATTGCTTTATGTCCGGCATAAAAACCTGCAGTGTAATATCAAATTGACCACTAGAGGGAGGAAAGCACGTATAGAACAGGAGAAAAAAACCTGGAAGCCACAGAACGCACAATGAGAACGAGGAGAAGCCCTATGACACGTCACGTAAAACCATTTCTTTTTCTTTAAAAAGGTGGATATTAAAAATAGCCCTTTTTGTCCCCCTCCTTTCGGTGGGAGGAGAGGGGGGGTGAGATTACAGACTTCCCACCCACCCCCAATAGTGCATTAAAAGGTCACCAAAGCTACAGACAGCAAAGCAGGAATTGTTTCCCATTCCCGGGGGAAGTAGGTGGGTGTGCATGCATTGGGGTGGGGTGGGGTGGCAGGGTTCTAATAGTCTATCCCCCCCCCACGCACAACCCCCTCCCTTCACTAGCCTCAACACAAACCGAGAAGTGAGAGAACATAATTACAAATTAGTTGCTTAAAAAAAATTAGTTTAAAAAAATAAAACATTTGCTTTAAAAAAAAAAAAAAAAAAAACGAAGAAGAGAAGTGCCTTTTAGTGTGTCTCCCCCCCCCCTTTACTGGCTCTGCCCCCATCACACATGCAACGAGCTCCAGGCTGACGGGGGAAAGGTGGCCCGTGATGCTGCTGCTGCACCCCACCTCTCAGACCCAGCCCCCCCCCCCCCTTTTTACACCGCCCCCGTTTTTCACAGCACCGTCAGCTCTTCTTCGGCAGGGCTTGGGCAAGCGTTAGATCCGGGCGGGTGTCCGTTGCTGATGCCGCCGTCCAGCTCTTCCTGCAGGTAGCGGCTGATCTCTTGGGGGAGGGAGACGCTTTCCAGTTCACACTCGTCTTCTAGTTGGGCTGCCAACTGCGGAGTCGGGGGTGGGGGTGGAAGAGAAGATGGAGAGGAAATGAGCATGCCTCATTGAAGCCAGAGGCTGGGCTCAACACGCGCAGCTGCCTTATGTCGACGCAGACTGCTGGTCCATCTAACCCACTGTGACTGGTGGTGAGTGGGAGGACTAGGGAAGATGCTTTGAATTGGAGGTCATTAGAGCTACAGAATCAAAGAGTTGGAGGGGGCCAACGAGGCCATCTAGTCCCACCCCCTGCTCAATGCAGGATCAGCCTAGAGCGTCCCTGACAAGGGTTTGTCCAGACACTACTTAAAGACCGCCAGTGAGGGGGAGCTCACGTAGGCAGCTGATTCCACTATTACACAACTCTTACCGTAAAAAAGTTTTCCCTAATATCCAGCCAGTACCTTCCCGCCCTTAATGTAAACCCATGATTGTGAGTCCTGTCCTCTGCTGCCAACAGGAACGGCTCCCTGCCCTCCTCTAAAAGTGGCAGCCCTTCAAATACTTCAAGAGAGCCGTCCTGTTCCCCCTCAACCTCCTCTTCTCCAGACTGAACATTCCCAAGTCCCTCAGCCTTGGGAAAGTTAAGGCTGGGCTGCAAAACAAAAGCGCTCTGCGTCTAAACCACAGCCCCATCCTTAAAAGTGGAGGTGATGGTCTTGGCACTGCTTGGCATGGAGAAGGTGGTTCCCAGGTTCAACCCCCACTGTCTCCAGTTAGCAGGGGACGTGAAAGACCTCCACCGGAGGCCCTGGAGAGCCGGTGCACTTGATGGACCAAGGTTTTGATCCAGTATAAGACCGCTCATGTGCACTTCCTTAAAAATGGCATGCAGGTGGCCCCGGATTCAATCCGCACACAATGTGGAGGCTGCTAAGAATGTGTTTGCCTCTCCACCGTGGAGGGGTGGGGATGAAATCTGCTCAGCGCATGGGGGAAGCTTTCTAAAAAGAAAACTGCATTTCACACAAAACCACTCAGAAGCCCCAAGGCTAGAGGACGCAGCCAAGGCTTACCTGCACTTGAGACGGTAATGCAAAATCAACAATTAGCCAGCCAGCTGTGTACATAAGATCAGTGGCAAAACCACCTTAATACCTCCCCAAACACGTGCCCAAAATCACAAATTCTTGGCAGCTGTGACCTGGGTTGTAAACATGATGGCATCTGCACGGAGCACAGCCCGTTTTCTGACATCCTTCGTACGCAGGGTGGGCACACAATGCTCGGCCCAAAGGCAGGGAAGCCCCGGGTGCCACTGCGAATGCCCAAATCCCTCCAGGGCGAGCAGCTGCCACTAGGGGGCAGTGAAGAGCCTCTCGGCCTCTTCACAATCCGGCTGCTGTTCTTAGAAAGGAGAAGCAGTGGGTCCGACCATACTTCCCTGTTCCCCACAAGCTTCATGCCCAGAAGCTCAGTTCCTCCAAGGGCTGCGAACCTCCAAGTGGGGCTTGGCAATCTCCATTCTGGTGAGGGTTGCCAACCTCCAGGTCTCCTGGGGTTTCAACTCATCTCCAGGTGACAGAGATCGGTTCACCTTGAGAAAATGGCTGCTGTGGAAGGTGGGCTCTGTGGCATTCTACCCCATTGAAGTCGCTCCCCAACCCCCACAGGCTCCACCCCCCAAATCTCCAGGTATTTCCCAACCTGAAGCTGGCAACTCCAGTTCCACTGGTGAAAAAGGCTGCTTTAGAGGATGAATTCTGAATTCTATGGCATTATATGCTGCTGAGGTCCCTCCAGTTTGGTGTAGTGGTTAAGCGTGGTGGACTATCATCTGGAGAACCGAGTTTGATTCCCCACTCCTTTACATGCAGCCAGCTGGGTGACCTTGGGTCAGTCACCAGTTCTCTCAGAGCTCTCTCAGTGCCACCCACCTCACAGGGTGTCTGTGGTGGGGACAGGAAAGGAAGGAGACTGTAAACCGCTCTGAGACTCCAAGTGAAGGGTGGGGTATAAATCCCATCTCTTCTTCTCCACCTCCTCACACCCTCCCCTCTGCAGGTTCCACCCCCCAAATCTCCAGGAATTTCCCAATCCAAAGCTGACAACACTCCCTCGCCGGGCAGAGGCCCAGAAGAGCAACAGGGGCTTTTCTCATCTCCCGGGACTTGAGGGAACAGGGCTTGCAGAGCTTGTGGTTGGCAACCCTCCTTTCGCCTGACCAAGGCCACACTCGGGAGCCTCAGAGGCAGAATAAAGTCTGGGTGTTTCCCACAAGGCCGTGCTGCACTCACCCGCGGCTCTTCTTCCTCGATGAGCTGCAGGATCCCCTGGTGGCCCGCCAGCAGCTTCTCCTGTCGCCGCTTCTGGGCTTCCTCGAGCTTTGGGACGGGGAGAGAGGGAGAGAGACGACGCTCAGGAAGGAACGACAAAAAGGGGACCTCAGGATCCCAGCAGCTTCAGAGCCTGGACACTTCTTCTGTACTCTGGCCAACTCACAGCACCCCACCCACCTGCGCCAAGCCCTCTGTGCCCCAATCCCCAGCACCCTTTCTATGACAGCCAGTTTGGCATTGTGGTTAAGAGCAGCGGACTCTGATCTGGGAGAACCAAGTTTCGTTCCCTACTCCTCCACATGCAGCCAGCTGGGCGACCTTGAGTCAGTCACAAGTTCTCTCAGAGCTGTTCTCTCAAGAGCTCTCTCAGCCCCACCTGCCTCACAGGGCGCCGGTTGTGGAGAGGGGAAGGAGACTGAAAGCCGCTCTGAGACTCCAAGTGAATATTGGGTGTAAATCCAGTCTCTCTCTTCTTCTCTCTATTATACACAGAGATCATTTCCTGCAGGAGCGCACAGGAGCAGAGCTGCGGCAATAAAGAGCCCAGGGGGCAGGCACATGCAACAAGCCCCACCCCGTGCTCCCAGCAGGCCCAGGCTACCAGGAGCAAGAAGTCTCTTTCTTTCCTTCTTTCTTTCTCGCCTTCTTTCCCTTTCTCCATTTCCCTCCTTATTTCCTCTCCCTCTTTCCTTCTCTTTCTTTCCCTCTTTCCCTCCTTCTTTCCTTTTCTTTTTTCCCTCCTGCACAGATCTGCGCATTCCCCCACCCCCCAGCTAGCAATCCAAAACCGTCCAGTGGCACCTTTAAGGCCAAGGTTTATTCAGGTACAAGCTCTCCCTCCTCTGTGAGGGCAAGATCTGCGGGGGGGCCCCCATAGCTAGCAATCCAAAACAGTCCAGTGGAGCCTGAGTGGTGGGTGGCCTTCTGACACACTTCCGGTGATGTCAGGGGATGTGGCATATGCTAATGAGTTATGCTAATGAGTTATGCTAATGAGCTCCTGCACCTCTTTTTCTACGAGATGACCCCTGATTATATGCCCTCCCAAAACACCGCCTCTGCTTTGACCAGTGGAGCCATTCAGCAGAAGATGATCAGTACAGCTTACTTTACCCCCTCAAAGCATTTGGGGCATGGTGCGCGGTTCCCCTTTCCTTCCTTTAGTGGTGGAAAGTGCTGTGGAGTCACAGTTGACCCACGGTGAGTGACCCCACAGGGTTTCCAAGGCAAGAGACATTCACAGGCGGTTTGCCCTTGCCTGCCTCTGCATAGCAACCCTGGACTTCCATGGCGGTCTCCCATCCGAGTACCAACCAGGGCCAACTCAGTTCAGCTTCTGAGACCTGACGTGCTCAGGTTAGCCTGGGCCATCCAGGTCAGGGCACAGGTCCTTCCCTTATCCTGACAACAATCCTGTAAGGTAGGGTAAAGCTGAGTGGCTGGCCCCAGGTCTTCCACAGAGCTTAGTGTGGAAAGTGGAGATCTGAACCTGGGGCTCCCTAGTCCAACACTCTACCTCTCAGGGAGGGCGGGGTATAAATCAATCAAATGAATAAATAAATAAATGACACTGACTCATTTCCACTCCGAAGCCCACACAGCAGAACATTTGGAGAGTGGGAACAATAAGCAGAAGCCACTCACCCTGCGAATGGAGTTCACTGACTCAGTGATGTGTCTCCTGTTTATCTCCGTCAGCTCACTAAGGGGAAAGAAGGGAGGAGAGAGCCTATCAGAGACGGCCTCCCTCCTTCTGAGTAAACCCACACAGGTGCCGATCCTCCAGGAGGAGTTATCTGTGAACCAAATATGATCAGAACTGATCCCGCCAAGTCCCCTCACCGCCCCCAGGCAAGAGTGCGCGGCATCTTCCAGCTCTGACAAAATGGCCGCTGAACCAGCAGTAACTCGGCCTACCATTCCAGGCCCGGCGCTCTCAGTCATTCCCACCTTGGGCTCCCACCGCTCTTTTCCTCAGAACTTTCTGGTCCGCTGCATGCCGCCTCTCCCCCGCTTCAAAAACCCAACATGGGAAGAGCTGTCACCCCCCCCAACCCCAACCCCTTCAACTCACACATCTTTTTTACTCTTCTCACGGGATTTGGCCTCTGTGATGCTGTTGTGCCGTTTTCGGTCCAGGATTTTCTGAAGCTCTTTCTTCTCTCTAATGTGGGGGGGGGAGTGCCATGAGGAGAGAAGAGGCCTGAAGATTACCCAAGAGGGGTGGGAGCTGAACCCGCCTCGTCCCTTCTGCCCCCAGCAGTACTCACTTCTCACCCATCTCCTTCAGTTTCTTCAGCTGGGCAGCTTGACAGTCACGGGCAATTTCCCTCAGGCGCTGCTGGGCCTGGAGGAAAACGAGAGCACTGAGCCAAATCCCAGGCATAAATCACGCATGTACGTTTGCATACACTGCGCTCACCTTATGTACACTGAACACCAACATGTTGCTGCCTTAGACCCTGTCACACATCCTGGTCTATCAAGGACAGTCAGAGCCAGTTTGGTGTAGCAGTTAGGAGCGGCGGATCCTAATCTGGCACGACCGGGTTTGGTTCCCCAGTCCTCCACATGCAGCTGCTGGAGTAACCTTGGGTCAGTCACAAGTTCTTTCAGAGCTGTTTTCTCAAGAGCAGTTTTCTTACAACTCTCTTAGTCCCACTTATCTCACAGGGTGTCTGTTGTGGGGAGAGGAAGGGAGATTGTAAATCGCTCTGAGACTCCAAGTGAAGGGCGGGGCATAAATCCAATCTCCTCCTCCTCCTCTTCTTCTTCCTTCTATTGTCTACTTTGACTGGCAGCAGCTCTCCAGGTTCTCAGGGCAAAAACATTTTGCATCCGCTTGACATGCAGAAGGTCCCGGGTTCAACCTCTGGCATTTCCAGGTAAAATGGACTCACAGTAGGTAATGTGACAAGCCTCTGCCTGAGACCCCGGAGAGCTGCTACCAGTCTGACAATACTGACCTTGATAGACCAGTGGTCTGATTTTGTATAAGGCAGCTACATGTGAACATAATGAACCTAAGAAGAGCCCTGCTGGGTCAGGCCAGTGGTCCATCTAGTCCAGCATTCTGCCTCACACAGTGGCCTCAACCAGTTCCTCTGGACAGCGAACAACAGGTGCGTAGAGGCCTTGCCCTGATGTTGCCTTCTGGCTCTGAGATTCAGAGGCTTCATGCCTCTGAATGTGAAGGTTCCCCTCATTCACCATGGCTAGTAGGAGCTGCTAGACCTCCTCCTCCTCCATGAATCTATCTCATTCCCTTTTAAAGCCGTTTTATTTCTCTGGCCATCGCTACATCCTCTGGCAGCGAATTCTGCATTTTAATCACTCTCTGTGTGACCTGGATTCCGTAATTCCTTGAGGACTAGAAATTTGGATCTTCGTCTGATTTAAATCCCATGGTGCTGTGGATTTTAAAAGGAAGCACTGGAGCTTCTCTCCTCATATCTCGACTTCTTGAATCTGTGTGTATGGCTTTCCTACTGGGCTCTAGCCAAGCATTCTAAGGGTCCTTCCAAAACCCACCCACCCCCCTCAGGGCACCTGGTGCAGATGTTCTCGCTTGCAGTCCCTCTCCAGCTGGTGCTGGGCCTCCCGCAGCTGGAGCAGCCCCTGCATCTGCCACTCCTGCAGCTCCAGCATCCGGCGGGTCACTTCCTGCCCCTGGCCCTGCCGTGTGGCCTCCATGGAGCTCAGGGAGCCACGGGGGGACCTGGTGGAGGGCAAAGGAGAGAAAGGCTGTCCGTCAACACACGTGGGCAGAGGGGACGACTTGCAAGCCAGCAGAGGAGGGAGGGAAGGGGGAGGCAGGCCGCAAACCAGGGTTGAAGGGGAGGCTGGTGGGGAGTTGTGGGGCTGGGCTCCCTAGCCTCTTTCCTTAAGCAGTGCCTCCAGCCACTTCGCCTCTGGGGCAAGCTCCAGCCTTCCACCCCACGTCCATCTTCCCAGCTTTAATCTTGCCACACGGGGTTGGGACCCAGAGGGCAGAGGGTAGACCTGTACAGAGGTGCCTCAGGCGTCTCATCTATTCCCTCCAAGCCTCCCTCCACCAGCAACATTTCCTTTGCCCTCCCCCCAGTGGGATCCTAGTGGCCACACCCCCAAACGTGGCACATTCCACAAGACCACGCAAAGCCCCCCGCCTTCCCTGTGAGGCAGCAACATGCGGAAGCGCGCACTCCGATGCAGTGCTCCTCAACTGAGGCTTGTGAGGCACTGCGTGCTTCCGCCGTGCCCACGACACAAGGCAGCCCCTCACCCTTCCCGGCTACGCTGCCGGCTCCTTTCCACCTGGGACAGCTGTGCGTTCTGCTTCTTGTTCAGGCTGCAGATCTTCTTCATGTGCTTCCGCCGCAGCTCCTTCAGCTCCCGGTACTGCTTCTTCAGCAGTTTCACGAAAGCTTTGTGCTGCCTCAGCTCTTCCACAGACTGTGGGGAGACCTCTGGGAAAGAAGAGCCTTTATGTTCAGCTCTGTGTGCGCGCGCACGGGAAGTGCCGTCGAGTCTCAGCCGACATACAGAGAAAGACCACGGAGTTTTCAAGGCTAGAGACGAACTGAGGTGGTTCTGCCACTGCCGACTTCTGCTCGGCAACCTTGGATTTCCTTGCAGGTCCCCCATCCAAGTACTAACCGGGGCCGACCCTGCTTAGCTTCCAAGATCTGATGAGCTCAGGCTGTCCTTGGCCATACAGGTCAGCGTAATGCAGCTCTACGGGTATGCAAACGGTACTTTGCCGAGTAACCCACACGCATCAGTACAAACACACACACACACACACACAAGAATGAGAGAAACTGACTAAACACTCCACCAGGCACTGTATGAATATCTGACTTTATATAGCTAATGCTTACACTTCTCAGCCAAAAGGCCAAGAAGCCTTCAAGTTTCTCTCCCCGGTCATTAATTATCACAGGCTTGATTTAAAAGGAAAAACCCACTGCTATTAATTAATTAATTTGTTGTTGAAGGCTTTCACGCAGGGTGGGGCGTGGTCTTGACATTGTAGGATTGATTGATTAATTAATTAATTAATGATTATCGTATGGCACTGTGTGCAGAATAGCCAGGAGATCCTAAGATTGTCTGGCAGCCAAAAGTTCTAGCTCCTTAGCATTATGCACCACTGGGTGGCGAGCGAGACTTGCTTTTTTAAAGGCAAGACACATTTCAGAGGTGGTTTTGCCACTGCCTGCCTCTACGTCACAACCCTGGTATTCCCTGGAGGCCGCCCTTCCAAATACTAGCCATGTCTGACCCCGCTTTGCTTCTGAGATCTGACGAGATCGGGCTAGCCTGGGCTATGAAACCCGTGGATGCCTCAGGGCAGTGAGTCCTACATGGCTGTGCTGCCTCGTGGAACGGTCTCGGCTCTGAGACCCTGGCCAAGGGAAGGAGGTGGCTTGTCTAGAAGACCTTCAGGACACCCCTTTGGGCCCTATGATCCTAAGGTGCATGCACTATGATGCCAGTACTGGCACAAGACTTTTCCTTACCTGCCAGGACGCTGGCGATCAGATCGTCCCTCTGCACTACAGTATTGGAAGAGAAGGGCGAAAAGAAAAGAAAAACACAGAAATAGTTAAATTGGGGAGCAGGATATGCAAGTCCTTAAGGGGAGGGGCCCAGGGACAGAGGAGAGAAGCCCCTGATCAAACGATCTGCCCACTTGGGGATGAATTTGTGGTAGATGTGCTCCCTCCCCACCCACAGACACAGGAGAGCGTTCTGTGGCGGACAACCATTTGCTACAGGCAGGAAAAGGGATGGGGAGGGGATCAGTGGCAGAGAAATCTGCTCATCATGCAGAAGGTCCCAGGTTCAGTCCCCCAGCACCACCAGCTAAAAGGATCAGGTATGGTGAAAAGACCTCTGCCTGAGATCCTGGAGAGCTGCTGCCAGTCGGAGTAGACAATACTGATTTTGACAGACTCAGCCTGAAGCAGCCCTGAGTGATCCTTACAGCACAAGTCCTGCTCAGTGTGTCTAGAATGTTCTGGAAAAGCCAACGGGGCAGAGAAGGGAAGAGTAAGGCCCGTTGCTGGGAGGCAGCATGGGGCTGTGATTAGCACACAAGACTAAGGCCCAGGAGGTTCAAATCCTTACTCTGCCAGGAGACTCAAGGGTAAACTTGACCTACTCAACTCTCTCTCGGCCTAACCTACTTTGTAGGGTTGTTGTGATAACAAAATAAGGGAGGGGAGGATCCACATATGCTAGCCTGACCTCCTTAAGAGGGAAAATGCACAGAAAGCGAGGAGGCGAGGAGCCCTAGTTTACTTGGGAGCCCAACAACAGGACCTGGCCCCTCCACTCCCTTTAACGAGGACTGTGTCCGTGCAGATTTTTAGACCTTACCTTGGCTGGGGACCACACTGGGGCTCCGGGTGGGGGACAGTAAAGCTCGTGGGGGCTTGCACGCTTCTTCAGGGGGGGAGGAGCTTGCATCGGAGCGGCTCCTTCCCAGGGACTCCCGTGGCTTCTCTGTGCACTCCTGAGGGGAAGGGCGGGGAAAGGGTTTAAGTAGGATCCTAGAATCACACAGCTGGAAGGAAGGGGCCCTACAGGCCGTCTAGTCCCACCCCCTGCTCAGTGCGGGATCAGCCCTAGAGCAGTGATGGCGAACCTTTTAGAGACCGCGTGCCCAAACTGCGACCCAAAACCCACTTATTGATTGCAAAGTCCCAACGCGGCCATTTAACCTGAATGCTGAGGGTTTACTTTAGGAAAAAAACAACTCACACATTAACTTAAGAGGATCCAAACAAAGCAAGGAAAGTGATCCCAAATGCTTTCATTGACTTAAAATTATTTGGCAGAGAATTCGACACTTTAATGATGGTCTGGGCCTGGCTGGGGCGATGGCACACGTGCCCACAGAGAGGGCTCTGAGTGCCACCCCTGGCACCCGCGCCATAGGTTCGCCACCACTGGCCTAGAGCATTCCTGACAAATGTCTGTCCAGCCGCTGCTTAAAGACCACCAGGAAGGGGGAGCTCACCACCTCCCCTAGGCAGCCCATTCCGCAGCTGCACAACTCTGGCTGTAAAAAAGTTCCCCCTAATATCCAGCAGGGAGCTTCCTGCCTTTAATTTAAACCCATTCTTGCGAGTCCTCTCCTCTGCTGCCAACAGGACCAGCTCCCTGCCCTCCTCTAAGTGGCAGCCCTTCGAATACTTCAAGAGAGCCATCCTGTCCCCCCTCAACCTCCTCTCCTCCAGACTGAACACTCCCCAGTCCCTCAGCCTTTCCTCACAGGGCTTCTTGGTCTCCAGGCCCCCCATCATCCTCATAGCCCTCCTCTGCACCCGCTCCATCCTGTCCACGTCCTTTCTGAAGGGAGGACAGGACTGAGATCCCCAGATGCCACCGCCCTCCTGATCTTCTCCTGTTGCTGCCCGGCAGCACCTCAGTGGACTTTATCCCATTCTTGTCCGGCTCCGTCCCAGGGCCGCCCTCACCTCGCTCTCCCCTATCAGGGCTGCCAGCTGCTTCGCCCGCTGGTCCATTAAGCTGACGTGCTTGATGGGGTTAATCAGGGCCTCCGCATAATCTGAGGAAGAAAAGTAATTAGCATGTGGAATTCCCTGCCAGAGGCTGTAGTGAGGGCCACAGGCACAGACAGCTTTAAAAAGGGATTAGACAGATTCATGGAGGAGAGGTCTATCAGTGGTCATGGTGACTGAGGGGAACCTCCACATTCACGGGCAGTCAACCTCTGAATCCCAGGGGTAGGAGGTAGCATCAGGGGAAGGCCTCAGCCTCTCTGCCCGGTTGTTCCCCTCCAGAGGAACTGGTTGGCCATTGCGTGAGGCAGGATGCTGGACTAGATGGATTCAATATGCCCTCTAAGGCTGTGTAGTCTTGTGGGCAAAAATTCTGCTTTGTGAGCTACTGGCATTAAAGTTGTGGGCAAGCAATTTGGTTTCTGCATAAATTAGTTTGCCCTATTTTACCCCTTTTGCATTCTCTGTTGGTCAAGACTTCGGTCATATAGACCCATAATAAATTGAAATTGAAAAATTGAAATTAGTTTGCTCTGGAGCTATCCTTCCTGAGCGAAGACAAAAATCTGTGAGCCAAAGGCTAAAAAACTGTGAGCTAGCTCACACTAACTCAGCTTAGAGGGAACACTGGATGGACTACTGGTTTGATCCACCAGGGCTCTTCTTATGTTCTTACGAGGGGAAGGCTTTGGTCTCTATGCCCTGCTGTTGGCCCTTCAGAGGAACTGGTTGGCCACTCTGTGAGGCAGGATCCCGAACTAGATGGACCACTGGTCTGATCCAGCAGGGCTCTTCTTATGTTCTTATCAGGGGAAGGCCTCAGCCTCTCTGCCCTGTTGTTGACCCTCCAGAGGAACTGGTTGGCCACTGTGTGAGGCAGGATGTTGGACTAGATGGACCACTGATCTGATCCAGCAGGGTTCTTCTTATGTTCTTATCAGGGGAAGGCCTCAGCCTCTCTGCCCTGTTGTTGGCCCTCCAGAGGAACTGGTTGGCCACTGCGTGAGGCAGGAATCTGGACTAGATGGACTACTGGTGTAATCCAACAGGGCTCTTCTTATGTTCCTATGAGGGGAAGGCTTTGACCTCTATGCCCTGTTGTTGCCCCTCCAGAGGAACCAGTTGGCCACTGTGAGGTACAGGATACTGGACAAGATGGATCGCTGATCTGATCTAGCAGGGCTCTTTTCTTATGTTCTTATGACATGTAATAGGGATTTTTTTTTACGGTGTGCATCATTCATCGATTAAATAATAATAAATCGCCTGAGTTCAATCAACCGGCTCTGCATATGGTAAAACGCAAATTAGTCTGAAGACACTGTTTACAGATTACGCACACACTCGCACCAGAAGAGGCATTTGCCGCCTGAAATTTTCCATAAGCAATTTGTGAAAAACACGTTTTTTAAAAAATCTGCTGTTCAAACAGCAGCAGCCTATTTACCAATTAATCTACCCAAGTATCGCAGCATACACAAACACAGAAAGTGATTTACACACACAGCTCTTCAGCAAATACACATTCGCGCCAATCTGCCCAACCGAACCCTTGCCTTGCTCCGGAATATGCACGGCGCCCCACTCACCCAGTCTCTTCTTCTTCCCCTCCTGCCCATTTGATTTCCTCCCTCTAATCACTCAGAACCTCCCCTGAATTTGGGATGATTATCTCAGTCTCGTTCCAAGGAACCTTGGGGAAATTCTTGGGAGATGAGCCTGACAACAGCCACTTAGCTACCACCAGGGCTTTTTATGTAGAAAAAGCCCAGCAGGAACTCATTAGCATAATAGGCCACACCCTGACATCACAGCTCATTTGCCTATTAGGCCACACCCCCATGTTACCAGCAGTGTGGTCATCCAGCCACACCCACCTTTTGCTTCTTATTCTCTTTACCTTGTTTGTTGTCAAAACCCAGGGCTTTTTGCATGTTAGGCCACACACCCCTAATTGTAGCCAATCCGAATGAGTTTCTGCTGTTGGGTGTGGCCTATTATGCTAATTAGTTCCTGCTGGGCGTGGCCAACTTGGGAGCCAGCCGGAACTCCGTTCCTGTGCGTTCCTGCCCAAAAATAGCCCTGGCTACCACCACTCAAAACAGGAACCTCCATTTCCAGAGGCAGTCCTGGGCAACAGGTAATGGGGATGAAGAGTGGGGGAGGGCCTTGGTCTTCACATCCTTGCTCGTGGGCTTCCCACAGAAGCACCTTGGCTGGTCAGTACGGGCCGCCTCTTCCCACATACGCCTCAGAAAGCGTTACGCTCTGAGAGTCAACATCTCCTGGTGATCCCTGGCCCAAAGGACGTCCACCTAGCCTCGACCAGGGCCAGGGCTTTTTTCCACCCTGGCCCCCACCTGGTGGAACACGCTCCCTATTGAGATCAGGGCCCTGCGGGATCTTCTTCAATTCCACGGGGCGTGCAAGACGGAGCTGTTCCGCCAGGCCTTTGGCTGAGGCAGTGGGCATCCACATATGCCCCCCCCCCCGGGCAGAGACCCGGGTTGCGGTCTCCCACCTACCGATAACCGGCCATACCTAGTTACGTCAATGGGCTGGATTCTCCCTACAGCAAGCATGATTTTTGATTTCATATGTTTTAAAGTGTTTTAAATTTTATTGTATGTATCAAAATGTTGTGACTCGCCCTGAGCCCGTTTACAAGATGGACAGGATATAAATGCGAAAAATAAATAATAATAATAATAATAATAATAATAATAAATAAAACAGGAAACCCCTGGTCTGATCTAGCAAGACAATTATTTTGTTCTCAGCAACCGTGCTAGCTGAAGGGAACTTCCAGCTGTAGAGACAGCAGACCCTGAAGACCATGTGCGGGGTGTGTGTGTGTGTCTAACGACAGAGAAGGGACCTCTTGAAGCCTTGCTACCCTGCTTGGGGACAACTCCCCCGAGGCATCTGCCCAGCCATTATTGGGAACAGGACTCAATAATGGACTTCTGGTCTGACCCAGCAGGGCTCTTGCTATGTTCATCTACGCATCTCCAGAAAGGGATCAATCCGAAAGAAGCTTGAATCTACAGCGAAGCCCTCTCCCAAAGCCCCCAACCCAATCATTCAATTACTTTGGTGATCATCTGGAATATAGTCGTAGGCCTCCGTATAGACCAGCAAGGCCGGGAGACACAGCAGCTGATTGCTTTCACTGCGCAGGCAAATGTAGTGATATCCTGCAAGGAAGAGGGAGGAAGAAACGCAAATAAGGCAGAGTTAGTGGGTGGGGGGGAGGGAATTCAGGAGACGGAGGCACGTATGGCAGACTCTGGCCTTTGGTAGTGCGTTCAATTGTGAAGGCATCATAAATGAGGCTGAAAAGGTATAGCTTGCCTTCCCATCACTTTCTTCTTTAAATAAAAAGTTTAATGTTTGGCAATGCTGTATGCTCTATAATAAACATGCTCCTTGCAGAAACCAACGCAGGTCTTAAAAAAAGCACTTGAGCACGATAAGCATACAAACTGGATTAGGAAGAAGAGCTGGATTGGTCTTAATGGTTAAGAGCGGTGGGCTCTAATCCGGGAGAACCGAGTCTGATTCCCCACTCCTCCTCCACATGCAGCTGCTGGGTGACCTTGGGCCAATCACAAGGTCTCAGAGCTGTTCTCTCACGAGCAGCTCTCGAAAGAGCTCTCTCAGCCCCACCTACCTCACAGGGTGTCTGTTGTGGGGAGGGGAAGGGAAAGGAGACTGGGAGCTGCTCCGAGACCCTGAGTGAACGGTGGGGTATGAATCCAATCTCTTCTCTTTTTAAAACTGACAACTGGCAGAGTGAAGACTAGGGGCTGGATCTGAAGCCATCACATGTGCAGCAGTTCTTGCTGCGACTTGCTGTGCTCCTCTGAATGCACCTCCCAGTGTCCTGGACCCGTGGGGGATGGAGGAACTGGCAGAAATCCCCCCCCCAAAATGCAAGCAGAAATAAGATTTGTATAAAAAGAAGAGGAGCCAGGATACAAGCCCATTTGACATATCGTTCAGTGCTCAGACTCGGCTGGCCCCGGCTAGCCCGATCTCGTCAGATCTTGGAAGCTAAGCAGGGTTGGTTGGTACTTGGAAGGGAGACCACCGAGAAGTCTAGGGTCATTATGCAGAGAGAGGCAGACAATGGCGAACCACCTCTGTTCGTCCCTTGACTTGAAAAGCCCTTGAGAGCCAGTTTGGTGTAGCGGAGGGCTCTAATCTGGAGAACTGGGTTTGAATCCCCACTCCTCCACATGCAGCCAGCTGGGTGGCCTTGGGCCAGTCACAGTTCTGTCTCAGAGTTGTTCTCTCAAGAGCTCTCTCAGCCCCACCTGCCTCCCAAGGTGTCTGCTGTGGGGAGAGGAAGGGCAGGAGATTGTAAGCCGCTCTGAGACGCCGAGTGAATGGAGGGTATAAATCCAACTCCTCTTCTTCTTGAGGGGTCGCCATAATTCAACGGCAACTGGACTGCACTTCACACTCTCACACACACACACAGAGAGCTGAATAAATCCCCTTCTTTCCTAGAGCTCTCCCCTTGGCTTGTGACTTGACTGCATTTTCCGCCAACAGGAAAATCAGCTAACAAAGCCTGAGTCCCGGGGCACCTTTGAGATCAACAAAGTTTAATTCTGGGCATAAGCTTCTGTTCAGGTTCTCTATCTTAGCTTGGGGGCTCACAGACTATCTTTAAGCCAGCCTAGTAGCACCTTTAAGACTAACAAACTTTATTGTAGCATTAGCTTTTGAGAAACACAGCTCTCTTAGTCAGATGCATGAAGAGAGCTGTGTTTCTCGAAAGCTAATGCTACAATAAGAAGAAGAGAAGAAGAGAAGAGATTGGATTTATACCCCACCCTTCACTACCCAAAGGTGTCTCAGAGCGGCTTACAAACTCCTTTCCCTTCCCCTCCCCACAACAGACACCCTGTGAGGTAGGTGGGGCTGAGAGAGCTCTGACAGAAACTGCTCTTTTTAAGGAACAGCTCTTATCAGAACTACGGCTTGCCCAAGGCCATCCAGCCAGGTGCAAGTGGAGGAGTGGGGAATCAAACCCGGTTCTCCCAGATTAGAGTCCACGCACTTAACCACTACACCAAACTGGCTCTGCCCAATAAAGTTTGTTAGTCTTAAAGGTGCTACTGGGCTTTTTACTACTTTGCAGCAACAGACTAACATGGCTAACCCCTCTGGATCTAAGCCAGCCTGTCTCCCTTGGCCTAAAACCTGCCTCGTAGGAGCTGCTGTGAGGGTAAGAACGGGGTTAACTCCCCCATCCGTGTCCGCCACCCAGATCTCCTTGGTGCAGGAGACGGGGGATACAAAAATATGGAATGAATGAATGACCCGCATGAGAGATTCCGTTTGTACATCATGCATGAATGCACACACAGAAGGCTGCGTGCTGCTGCCACAGTCAGCGCCCAGCAGCACTACCCAATTTTCATTAGCGTTCAAGAGGTTTACCTCCAGGTAGACAGCAACACTAGTCCTTATAAAGAGTCTTATGACACACCGCTCTCCCTGTGTGCGCGTGCACGCACGTGACTAACATCTATTATGACCCAAGCCTTTGGGGACTGCAGCCCAATTCAGAAGCAAGGAGTGTGCCCGCAGTTGGCAAATTAATTACACTCACACTTGTAGAGAAACCGGTGGAGGGAAAAAATGTGCCAACGATGGGGCCAAGAGGCCATGAAATGCAAAGAGCATGAAGTGGGTCTGTGGCCGTTTCGATGCATAGGCCAAATGTATACAAGATAAGAAACTGCAGCCTCTGGAATGAATTAGCATAACACGGCGAGGAAAAACAATATTATCACAATATTATCGTTCTTATCTGGTACACATTCGGGCTCTGCATAGAAATTACCTGGGCCTGCTACTTGTTCTCTGCATTTCATGGCCTCTTGGCTCCAGCTGTTGACATTCATGCCCAATTGATTCCTCTCTAAAAGCCTGCATGGTGTAGCAGTTAAGAATCTCATACCAGGATCTAGGGGAGAGTGTGAGCGGCCCTGGGAGGCCCAGGTTCCAACCTTCACTCACTGGGTGCCCTTGGCCCAACCAGACTCTCTTCTGTCTGCTTAACCTACCTCAGAGGGCTGCTGTTGTGAGGATAAAGTGGAGGAAGAGAGAATGTTGTAATCTCCTTTGGGTCCCCACCAATGTTCCCTCTAAGCTGTGGAGTCCTGTGAGCAAACATCCTACTTTGTGAGCTCCTGGCATTAAAGTTGTGAGCCAGCGATTTGGCTGCTGCATAAATTAGTTTGCTCTGGAGCAGTGTTCCCTCTAAGCTGAGTTAGCGTGAGCTTGCTCACGGTTTTTTAGCCCCCTGCTCATACATTTTTGTCTTAGCTCAGGAAGGATGGGCTCCAGAGCAGACTATTTTATGCAGCAGCCAAATCGCTCGCTCACAACTTTAATGCCGGTAGCTCACAAAGTAGAATTGTTGCTCACAAGACTGCACAGCTTAGAGGGAACATTGCTCTGGAGCCATCTTTCCTAAGCTGAAACAAAAATCTGTGAGCTGGAGGCTAAAAAACTGTGAGCTGCTAGCTCACACTAACTCAGCTTAGAGGGAACACTGGTCCCCCACCAGGAAGGGAAGCAAGGTGCAAGTGGATAAATATGCAAGCGCAAGCAGTTTAGATAACGGTATCAGATCTGGCGGCTGAGGATGACAATACTTCATGGTGGTGGGGGTGGGGGTGAAAAGTGCCGTCAAGTCACAGCTGACTTATGGTGACCCCAGTGGGGTTTCCAAGGCAAGCGACATTCATAGGTGGTTTGCCATTGGCTGCCTCTGTGTCACATGACCCTGGTATTACTTGGAGGTCAGCCCTGGAAAGCCTGATCTTGTCAGATCTCAGAAGCTAAGCAGGGTCGGCCCTGGCTAGTATTTGGATGGACAACCTCCAAAAAATACCGGGGGGGGGGAGGGAGGTATTTGTGAATTTCCTACATTGAGCAGGGGGCTGTACTAGATGACCCTGGACGTCCCTTCCAACTCTATGATTCTACCCCTGAAACGTCTCTCGCCTTAAAAACAAGGCTACTCACCACCTAGTGGTGCATAACGCTAAAAGAGCGAGGACTTCTGGCTGCCAGACAATCTTAGGATCTCCTGGCTATACTACACACACCGCCAATTCATTTCTTGGAGATCTCCCACCCAGTTACTAGCCAGGGCCAACCCTGCTTAGTTTCAGAGATCGGGCTAGCCTGGGCTATCCGGGCTGGGTTAATAATTCTTCATGCATCGGGCAAATTGAGCCCGAGCCCACAAAAAGAATGCAAGCTATTGTGAGAGCCAGTGTGGTGTAGTGGTTGGAGTGTTGGACTAGAATCTGGGAGATCTGGGGTCAAACCTCACTCTACCAGGGCACCATTTTCTTGGTGCTCAGGCTGGAATTTCCCTGCTAAAGATCAGCAGCTTTTAGTATTATGCTCCCATTGAGGATGTGTGGTGTGGTGGTTAGAGTGCTAGACTGGCATCAGGGAGAGTCAGGATTGAATCCCCACTCTGCCAAGGAAGCTTGCTGCACAGGCTTGGGCCAGTCGCATGCTCTCAGCCTCACGGGGTTGTTGTGTGCATAAAATGGAGGGGAGAAGGACAATGTACGCAGCTTTCAATAGGAGGAGGAGGAGGAGGAGGTGGTGGAGATTGGATTTATACCCTGCCCTTCACTCGGGAGTCTCAGAGTGGCTTATAATCTCCTTTCCCTTCCTCTCCCCACAACAGACACCCTGTGAGGTAGGTGGGGCTGAGAGAGCTCTGAGAGAACTGTGACTGACCCAAGGTCACCCAGCTGGCTGCATGTGGAGGAGTGGGGAATCAAACCCGGTTCTCCAGATGAGAGTCTGCCGCTCTTAACCACTACACCAAACTGGCTGTCTCACTGCGGAGAAAGGTAGAGTATTAAAACGTACATAAAATAAAACAGCACCACCCAAGAGCTTTACCAAAAACAAGCCAACCTGTCTCTGCCCCAAGAGCCTTACAATCAAATATTTAACGTAAAGGACACAGAGGGAGCAGTGAACCAGGGGAAGAATCGGCATTCATTCCAAATCACTCAGACTTTAATTTCGGATGGGGGCTATGAGTCTTTCAAGGGCCTTAAGGATTATTTGATGGAAGATTTTCAAAGCTTGTGAGCACAAGTATTCTGGGTCAACCGAGCCAACCGATGCCCAGGGAAACATTCTGGTAAGGCCCCAGCATCCCCCGATGGTGCAAAGAACTGTCCTGTTGCAATGCATCGTGGGACACAGCACAAGATGGGAACTCAACAAGCATGCTGACAAGTGGGGGAGGGGGGAGAGATGTGGCACACCTCACCTGAGCGGATGGCAGAGACTGGCAGTATCCTGTGCCCCACAAACTTGCCCCCTTCTTCAAAGACGGCTATGCGGAGGGAGGCCAGTGTAGGAAGCACCACCTGAAGGTGAAAATGAAGAGTGGGCTGTTGTTTTGGTTGTGTGGGGAGGGAGAGAGAGTGATCTGGCAACGCTACAGCTTTTCCACACTGGTCATCTTGTGAAGTTACCACATCAAAATAGTTGGAAATCAGTCTGAGCAGCACTTTTAAGGTAAGAAAGAGTTCTTGGATGGGAGCGTTTGCCCTATTTAACTGTAGATTTTAAGAATTTATACGCACTACAAATATAGTGGTTTCTACTGTTTGTTGCCACGAAGAATCCTGAAAATTGCAGTTTGGTGAAGTGATGACAACCTAATTAGGAACCCTAACTCTCCTCACAGGACGAATGTCCCCAGAGTTTCTTAGATAAAGAGGACAACTATTAACACACATCATGGTGTAAATACGCCTCCTTGTGAAGGAAACTTACCTCAACACCTACTCAGAAGGCACCCTATTAGGCCGGCTCATATTTGGGAGCCAAGCTCTGGAAACAAAGCGTTTCCCCATCACGGTCTCAGGCCCCTGACTCGCTCACCTTGTGGAAAACAAAAGGCTCTTCATCCCACACTGGGTTGAAGGAATTCCCCTGCGACGTCCGCGTGCGGAATTTGCGCTTGGTGTCCACCGGCAGCCCAAACATGTCCACTTCGACATAGATCCCCACTCGCTTGTCAGACAAGAATTGCCCTGAGATTATCTGGGGGGACAAAATGCCAGAGGGACGGGGAACAATGTTTAAATTTGTATCAAGAGCTGTTTTCTAACCTTTGTCAATTTGGGTTTTGATTGCACTATTTAAAGTTATTGCTTTAACCCATTTTATTGCGCCTGAGAATGGCCAAAGTGCCGTATAAATTGTTTAAAGGAACATGGCACTTGCCTACCTGGAACACCCCCCACCCCAGTTCAGCTTCAAACCCTCACCCTACCCAAACAAACAACAGAATTGTAATGTATTCAAAGCTGCCTTGAATGCAATGTGTGAAACATCTAACTGAATTGTAATGTTGAGCTTCGTCCTGGGCTAGGATCCAAATACATCCAATAGAATCACTAGCCCAGGAAGTAACAAGCCAATCACTTCAAGCAAGCTCCCTGAGCGGGAACAAATGTGATTGGACATTATCTCGGCAACCTCATAGTGGGTGTGCCTATATTAGCCGGGAATGTTTAAAAGCAGGACAGCTGCAATGTGAAAGCTGTTCTGGCTATCAGATGTTGATCCGTGTTGGAGTTGTGTTCGAGTTGAAGAATAAAGTTGTGTTCTTGCTGAATCACTCTCCGACTGCTTTGTTAAGCGAGCGACTTAACAAGAATGCCTGTGAAAGACTCTGTGGATCTACTCTATGGCATTCTGCACATGTTCAGAAGCAGCCTTCCCCAACCTGCCTGCTGCCACAGAATACAAAAAAAGCAACCCGAGCAGGTAGCAATTCATTTGTCTCAACTCCCTCTTCTCTTTCCCAGCTGTCAAATTTTAGACTGCGGACTAGCAGGGCACAGGAACCCTCTTTTTTATTGTTTATGTCATTTTTAAAGAGCCCTGCTCCCAAGCACCCTCCGCCCACGGCATCCCCGTCCCCTCTGGCAAACCTTCACTTTGACGGTGTTGGCTACGATGCCATCGACAATGTCTTCGGTGAAGGGGTCAAAGGGCTTGTCCTGGCGCCGCATGAACTCTGGCTTCAGCAAGTACCCGCTTCGGCGGTTGTATTCGAAGATGCCCAGATTCAGCTGCATTGGCAAGTCTGGGCAAGCAGAGACGGAATGAGAGAACGCAAGCTGGGGGATGATGTACGTGCAGCTGAAAGCCTGGACAGTCCGTAGCAGTAGAAAAGAGCAAGAGTCCGGTGGCACCTTAAAGACTAACAAAATATGTGGCAGGGGAGGAGCTTTCGTGCGTCACGGCCAGTGTTCCCTCTAAGCTGAGTTCGTGTGAGCTAGCTCACGAGTTTTTTAGCCTCCGGCTCACACATTTTTGTCTCGGCTCAGGAAGGATGGCTCCAGAGCAAACAAATTTATGCAGTAGCCAAATTGCTCGCTCACAACTTTAATGCCAGTAGCCCACAAGGTACATTTTTTGCTCACAAGACTCCACAGCTTAGAGGGATCATTGGTCACGGCTCACTTCTTCAGATGGGCAGTGACTCACGAAAGCTCCCCCCCTGCCACGTGTTTTGTTAGTCTTTAAGGGGCTACCGGACTCTTGCTCTTTTCTACTGCCAAAGACTGGACTGGACTACTTCAAAGTGCTGATAGGATAATGCTATTTCAAACCTCCCTGTAAGCAGAAGGCTAGCACAGCAGTGTAAGGACAAGCCTGCAAGCTTTCCCCACTGGTATGTGCATGTGTTAAATGCTGGCAAGTCACTTCCGACTTACGGCATCCCTATGAATTAATGACCGACACATCATTCTGCCGTCAGCAGCCTTGCTTGGGTCTTGCAAACTGAGGGCCTTTGTGGCTTCCTGGACTGAATCAATCCTGTTCATGTCAGGCCCTCCTCTTTTCCTGCTGCCTTCAACTTTGCTTAGCATCAGGGCCCCTTTTGTAGAAAAAGCCCAGCAGGAACTCATTAGCATAATAGGCCACACCCAACACCAGAAACTCATTAGCATATTAGGCCACGCCCCTGCCAGCACAGCTCATTAGCACATTAAGAACATAAGAACATAAGAGACGCCAATGTTGGATCAGGCCAAAGGCCCATCCAGTCCAACACTCTGTTTCACACAGTGGCCAGAAATACCAATGCCATCAGGAGGTCCAGCAGTGGGGCCAGGACATTAGAAGCCCTCCCACTGTTGATCCCCCCCCCCAAGCACCAAGAAGACAGAGCATCACTTGCCCCAGAGCCCCTAGCTATACCTTGTGGCTAATAGCCACTGATGGACCTCTGCTCCATATGCTTATCTAATTCCCTTTTGAAGCCGTCCATGCTTGTAGCACCCACCACTTCCTGTGGCATTAGGACGCACCCCCATGTTACCAGAAGCGTGGTCATCCAGCCACACCCACCTTTCCCTTCTTATTCTGTTTACCTTGTTTGTTGTCAAAACTCAGGGCCTTTTTTTGTAGCAGGAACTCCTTTGCATGTTAGGCCACACACCCCTAATGTAGCCAATCCGAATGAGTTCCTGCTGTTGGGTGTGGCCTATTATGCGAATGAGTTTCTGCTGGGCGTGGCCAACTTGGGAGCCAGCCGGAACTCCGTTCCTGTGCGTTCCTGCCCCAAAATAGCCCTGCTTAGCATTACTACTCTTTCCATTCATTCAGAAATGGTATTTTATTTATTTATTTATTTATTTGACTTATATCCCGCCCTTCCTCATGGGCTCAGAATGGCTAACAGGAGGCAATTGCCATACATAACAATAAAAACCAGATAAAACAATCAATTACAGTTACATTTAAAATCGGTGCTCACAAAACAACATCCAAGATGGGGTCTCCAATACAATGTTTCAAAAACTCTACTAGCTCTACTTGATCAGTCTGCGCTATGTCCGTTCTTCAGTTCCAGGACCGGCTCATATTGCCAAAATTGGCAGCGCGATGATGGCACAGTGATGGTGGCGGCTCCTACTCAAAAGCCTGGCGGAAGAGCTCCGTCTTGCAGGCCCTGCGGAACTGCATAAGGGCCTGCATATTTTTTACCGGCAGTCTGAAACGCTGCAGTGCATTCTACCTCCGCATTCCGCACCACGTGTAATGACAATCACTGCATGCCAACAAATCACAACCAACTCACGGCGCCTCTGGGACCGCAGGGTTTTCGAGGCAGGAGATGAGCAGAGGTCGTTTGCGTCCCTCTGCGCAGCAACCCTAACCTTCCCTGGCAATCTCCCATCCAAGTACTAACTGTGGCTGACTCTGCTTATCTTCCAAGCTCTGACATTTGGCAGACTGGGCCAAATGTGCTTCTGTCTCAACCCAGTACCATCATCGCCATCCTTGCAGGGTACAGAAGCCTCCACCCCCAACATGAGTCAGAGAAAGCCAACAGCCTCGAGCCGGATTGCACAGTATTACTTAGGCTTACCACAGCAAACACAGTTCAGAAGCTGTGTGCAACAGCTTGCCAGGAGCTCAGTACACCTGTGTTTGTTGCCTGCTTAGGACCACAAAATACCAGGGGCAGGAAACAAGTATCATAAGAAGCAAAACGTCGCTAGCCCTCATTAGCGAAGGAAGAGAACAAAGGCGACACTCACCAAGAGACTGGAAGTTGAGCGCCACCAATTGGCAGCCGGCATTCCAGAAGACCTGAGGCATGTAGTTGGAAGAATCCACCCGGGTCCCTTTAGGGTATATCCGGCTGAGTTGCTTCTTGTTGTATCTGGGATGGGGTGTGTGTGTCAAGGCAGCAAACACGATGAGGGGCTACAGTTCCGCAGATGCATATGGGAGTGTACGGAGTCCCGCGGCACACTGCATTGGTCAGGCCACACCTGGAGGACTGTGCGCATTTCTGGAGGCCTCACTTCCAAAAGGATGTGGACAGAATGGAGCGGGTGCAGAGGAGAGCGACGAGGATGATCGGGGGCCTGGAGACCGAGCCCTAAGAGGAAAGGCTGAGGGACTGGGGAACATCCAGTCTGGAGAAGAGGAGGTTAAGGGGGGACATGATGGCTCTCTGGCTCTCTAAGTATTTGAAGGGCTGCCACTTAGAGGAGGGCAGGGAGCTGTTCCTCTTGGCAGCAGAGGGCAGGAAGGTACCAGCTGGATATTAGGGAAAAGTTTTTGACAGTAAGAGTTGTGCAGCAGTGGAATCAGTTGCCTAGGGAGGTGGAGAGCTTCCCCCCCCCCCCGGCCGTATTTAAGCAGCAGCTGGAAAAACACTTGTCAGGGATGCTCTAGGCTGAACCTGCATTGAGTAGAGGATTGGATTGATGGCCTCTGTGTGACCCCTTCCAACTCTGTGATTCTCTGCTTCTATGAGGGGCTTCTATCTGGGGGAAAGGCTGGCAATACTGTGGGGACTAAGCAGGCCCACAGAGCCCAAGACTTTCGGGATATAAACTTCCAGGAGTCAACGCTCCCTTCGCTGGAGAGCTTTGACTCCCAAAAGCTCATCTTCCAAAAATCTCGCTGGTCTCCGAAGTCCCAGTGGACTCCAATCGACTTGAGCCCTTCAGTTGTACTGAAAGCAACAAACGGGGGGAAGAACTGGGAAAGCTGCTGTCAGGAGACAGCACTGGCTCCATGAGAGCTGTGGCCCTGGCCTACCTTCTTTCCTTCTAGTGATTTTAAATCATCCCTGGTGCACCAGGTGCTGACAGCTGAGAGCCGCCCACAGCTGAGAGCCACCCAGATGCTTGGCTGACATCTGGATCGACAGTGTAAGTCACATACACTCCCTCCCCCCCAACTTGCACTCTTCAGTTGTTGACCCACTGGCTTGTTATTCCCAAGAAGCTGACACGAAGTAAAGCAAAGGGGCCCAAGAGCACTGGAAGTCTGTCACGTGAAATGGTTGCCATTCCCGTTCCCACATCTCTACACCAAGCAGGATACTCAACAAACTCCATGGGGCTGTTGGTTAGCTGCTCCAGGCCTCTGGTCTCCACAAACGAAGACATCTCGTAGGATTTGTTGCGTTCTTGGTGGAGAGGGAAGGAAAAACAAATTTATTTATTTGATTTATATACTGGCCTCCCCATACGGGCTCAAGGCGCTGTACAACAATTAAAATAATACAATTAAAACAGCATTAAAATAACAATTTGCACAGAATAGTATCCTAAAATACCATGTAAAAGTGAAGAGATCAGATGTTAAAATTAAATCCGGTGTCTAATCAAATGTCTAATCAGATCCAGGCCACTGGTGGGTGATTGGCCAGAAGCTGGTGGAAGAGCTCCGTCTTGCAGGCCCTGCGGAACTGCAATAAGTCCCGCAAGGCCCTGATCTCCTAGGGGAGCTTACTCCACCAGGTGGGGGCCAGGGCTAAAAAGGCCCTGGCCAAGGCTAATCAGACATCCCTGAGACTGGAGACCAACAAGAGATGTTGATTTGTGGACCTCAGAGTAGGACATGAACATTCTGTGTCAGATGTAGTCTCCAATCCTTTGCCTATTACCAGTCCCTCCCTCTTTCTTCCTTTGTCTCTTCATGGCATATCTATTTTTAGTATGGCAGTATTAAAGCCAATACAGGTTTGAAGTGTCAAAGCTTCCCTCCCAGAGTATTGTGGGAATTGTAGTTTGGCGAGTGCACAGAGAATGCTCCTTTTGACGCTGCAAAAATTTCCTTCACAGAACTACAATCTCTGGGGAAGAGGAAGTGACTTTAAACCTGTCTGAGGCAGAATCAGCTTAAACTGCCATCCAGACATCGAACTCTGTCTCTGTTTACACGAGACACCCCCACTTTCCTTCCCCTACTTACTGCTGGCCACCTCAAAGGATTTGAACTTGACGGGTTCGATGTAGTTCACCAACGTGGACATCTCCTCTGTGGCGATGGCCTCGCTACTGGCAGTGCCCTGACACGCACCGGGGAAGGGGGAGGAGAAGAAAGAGTGGGAGGTCAGACAGACTGGCAAGGCAAAAGAACATTTGGAGAACAGACAAGTAATCACACAGAGGGCAATTTTAAAAGTTATCACAGTCATCAGTATCAGAAACTTGAAAAAAGTAAGAATGCTTTGAGTGGCACCACCTCAGAAACTGCATTTCAAAAATGTAGGCCTCTCTCTGACCTGTATATGTACACAAGGAGTCATGTCCCCTATGTATTCCCTGCGGAGGTAAAGCCAGGGCCGTCCAGGGAGGGGACAAAGTGCCAGAGAGCCCCCAGTAATGCCAGAGAGCCCCCCCATGTGTAAGACCCACTTACAAGCAAAAGACCACCTCTTGCTTGTTGAAATGTGGCTCCGATACACAAACACGACTAACCTGCAGCCCAAAAGGTTAACATTTATGACAAAATTCAAGTACACTGGGATGCGTTCTTGAGAAACAGAAGATTGCAAAGAATGTCATATGCAAGGTTTATAACCCTCTGAGATTAGAGCTGAGCAAAAATAAGAGGAAAAACGGAAAGATATCCATAGACTCTGAAACCAGGTAGCTGTTAACACAGTCTGAAAACAGCTCAAAAGTATGAAACAAATGGATAACAGGAACAGGAGAAACAGAATTCAAATAAGGGGAATCCCCAACAAAGTTGAAAGAAATAACTTTAAACAGTTTGTTTAAAGTGTCTTCTAGACTAGCACTGAGGCCCAGATCAGCTGATATATTTAGTGATATAGTGTATTTTGTCAATTCTGCAGTCACAAAACTGAGGCAATCAGAGGTGATGTATTTCAAAAAGAGATCACTATCTATGTTTCACAGCTTTCAAATGAAGAATGTAAAGAAAAGGCCTACCTGAATTTTTGTTTTAGCAGACTTACCACTAGGGATAGGCACCAACTGATTCACGAGCCAAAATTCGGGCCGAACTTAGGCCGGTTTGGTGCTCTGGAACCGATGTTCAGGGAAGGGGCATTCCCTGAACCAGGGCCATTCCCTGAACCACTTTTAGCCAGTTCGGCTGTTCGGGGCCAGCCGTTTAACCCTTTGTTCCCCCCCCCAAAGTGGCAAGGAGCAAAACTGAAGGTTTAAATGGATGCTAGCCACTAAAACCTAACAGCTGAGCTGCACAGGGTCCACTGCTCAGCTATTAGGTTTAAATGGCTGGTAGCCATTTAACCCTTCAGTTTTGCTTCCTGCCCCTTCAAGGGGGGGAGCAAAACCAAAGGGTTAAATTAAGCCCCTTCCCAAACGACCCTGCCCCCTTTCTCTCAGCCATGGAAAGGGGGAAAGGAAGTCTTTTCCCTGGCGATCCCCTCCCCTTTTCTTCTGGCTGCAGTGAGGAGAAAGGGGGAACCATACTTGCCAGACCAGTACAGGTTCATGTAGGGCGCATTCAGTTTGGTTCAGGGTTCAGTTCATGGTCCGCTGCAAAACCTGAACCGAACTGCCATTTTAGGTTCATGCCCATCCCTACTTAATGCCCACAGTATTAAAGATAATATTTTGCTGTTGCTGAGATGAAGTAGAAAAGTCTTATACAAACGTGCCCTCTTCAGACTCACATTTTAAGATAACTGAAAGAGGATGGGTGTTCAAATCAAGAACAAGCACGCTTTCAAACAGGCCTCTAGAGATAGCTGAGGTATTCATCGTGTTTCAAATAAATTACTAGTTGTACAGAGATGGAAGTGGATAGAAATCAGTAGCACAGATAATACTGAAGACAGTACTGGAAAGGACTTCAGCATTAATATGGTCATTATAGGAGAAATTTGAAATGCGTTACTCTTATCGCTACTAGAATTGAGTACAAGTCAAATTGGACAGTACTGATATTTATGAAAAAAGTTAAATTGTTTAAAGTTTAACATCTCAAGGGGCTAAATAATTCTGTTGAAAAGATCTTCCAATGTCTTACCTTCTTGCAGGAAACACATATTAAAGATTAGCAGAATTATTTCAAGTGTAAAATATAATCCATGTATTATTGCCACTTTGGAGGGATGGGGGTAAATGTAAGAGTCCATTATGTCCCTTGGGGTCTTCTTGAATCTCCTTTGGATGGAATGATGTCTTTTCTTTACAAGAAGATACTGTTTTATGGACAGAGTTTCTCGTACGGAGGTGAAGAAAGTGGTTTGCATTGTATAAATTAAGAAGTAAATTGAAGTGGTAACATACTGCATGGGTTTCAATATCTACAGCTTAGATACTATGTATTTATTCTAAGCAATATAAAATTGCACATAATGACAACTAATTTTCAAGTTTTTATTGGAAACAAGAGGAAACAAAGAATTACCGTCACAAATTTATGAACTGCTTTTATTTTAGAGAGACCGTTTAGGAAAGAATTTTCAGAATTAGGTGGGGGAAAGTGTTGCATTGATGCATATCAGAGGATATTTGTTCCATTTTACACAAGTATCAATTTGCAAAAATTTAAAAGCTAATCACTGTAAATTAAAGTACTTATGGCATCCCACCATATAAGATTAATAAAATATATCTGGGTTAACTAAGATAGAAATAAAAGTCAATTTTTCCCACATTTGGTGAAACTGTCCTAGTACACAACTTTTGGAGAGAAGCAATTGTGTATTTGATTAGGGATAGGATTCATTATAGTTTACCATATCATCCCTTATACAGTTTGCTTGGCTATTTAGACAGCTCTGTGGGGGGAAAAAACATTAGGAAGTATTTGTTAACAACATCAGATATTCTAATAGCTGAGAACTAGTGTCAACGGAGGAACTCATTAGCATAATAGGCCACACCCCTGACAGCACAGCTCATTAGCATATTAGGTCACACCCCATGTCTTCCCTTGGCTTGCCCGGGCACCCCGACAGGCCAGGGAAGGCACGAGGAGGCATTTAAATGCCTCCCCGATCCTTCCATCGGCCTCTCTGGCCCGCCCACCTCGGAGTCGCGGGGGAGGGGAGATCCGCTCCTTCAGGCCTTTCCTCTGTAGCCTGGCACACAGAGGTTTTGGCTGTAGTGGGCGTGGCCAACTCTGAAGCCAGCCGAAACTCCGTTCCTGTGTGTTCCTGCCCAAAAATAGCCCTGAGTGTCAACAAAGCTATTATCGTTAAAAAGCTAGTTGGGTCAAAGCATGGAAAAGAACAAAATGGGGCTCACAGCTGCAGAATCTTCTACAGGCTTGGCCACCATTTATACTTTTTGTGAAATGATATTATCTAAGGAGCCTTTTCACTTGATCTGAATTAGGGTTTTAATGATGGCATTTTTTTGTCCTGTCCTAGATAGCCCAGGCTACCCTGATCTCATCACATCTCAGAAGGTAAGCAGTCAGCCTTGGTTACTATTGGGATGGGAGACGACCACGGAAAGCCCAGGGTTGCTATGCAGAGGCAGGCAATGGCAAACCACCTCTGAACATCTCTTGCCTTGAAAACCCTGCAGGGTCTCAATAAATCGGTTGCAACTTGATGGGGGGGGGGAATCTAAGTTTTGAGGGGGGAAACAGGCAAAACATCTTCTGAATAACTCATCGACACTCAGGGATTCCTCAGAAAAGACATTTATCGCAAGCAGAAGAGCTACAACTTTTGTACATATATAGCTCTAGTTAATAACTAGGAGTAAACTTGCCTGTGGTGACCAAGAGTTTTTTTTCCAGGTAACCAAGCAAATATGCTTTTCTAAACTAGGAAATGCCTGTTTCCCCCACCCCTACCTCAAGCTGTCAAATAACAAGGACAGAATGTGTCAACAGGAACCCTATCACAGCTTTATTTAGGACTGCACCTGGTTAAGTTCAGTAGCCATCCTGAAGAGTGATTTTAAATTCTGGTGTTATGTTTTTAATGTATTTTATTTGCTGTGTTTTACCTATGTTTGCAAGCTGCCTTGACCTCCATAAAGAAGAAAGGCAGCCCGTAAATTTTTTCAATAAACAAGAGAAATAAATAGTTGGTAACATCTCTCTGCTTAATTACAAGGCTGTAACAGCTGCATGCATGGTCACGAAACGTGGAAAATCATTGTGTGCTTAATATCCCAGCATTCAATACAGAAACTGTTACTGTGCACAACCTTGGAAACTCCCCAGAATGTCAGCTTTCAAAATTTTAACTTGTCGTCTTCCCTCAGGAACTGAAGTTGCTTATATGGGGCTCCCACACTGCGAAGAAGCTGGTAACAAACTATACGCAACAACGCAGCACAGGACTGCCACTGAAAATGGCAGCCCCGTGTTGTCCTTCCCTTCCTCTCTTGTAATGGAAACGCATGTTGAGATGACACCACAGTTCCCTTCTCCCAAGATACAGGCAATTGGCCAGGGGAGGGGGGTGGGAATGCATGGTCAGATAACATGTCACTATTACAGGGGAAGCACATGGAAAACTCAACACGGAGCTGCCATTTTCTGTGGCAGCCCCTCTGTTTGTCCTGGCAGCTGGTCCTGTCCCAAGGCCTGGTCAACATAACAGTATGTATTCCCTGAGGCTCTGGGATACAAGTCAAAATAAGTCACCTTACATAGATACCTCATCTGTTGTGGGCTTCTTCAGTTCTTGCTGCTCCTCCTCTTCTTCACTCTCAGCTTCACGATCTGGAGACAATGAGAAGGGAAGAGGTTAAGGTTGCAGTTTCAAAGGGAAACATCATTCCTAATCCTAAAGGGCAACAACGCAGGGCTTAAAGACTTCCTCTCTCCACAGGGAATCATGGGAATTTTAACAGTATGAAACAGAGAATTCTAGGGGCTAGCCTACACCCGGAGCTGCCAGGCCACACCCTGGGAGGATTTTGGGGGTAGGGACAGGTGCACTAGCATGACACCAGCGTGCAACATCACTTCCAGTGACTACCAGAAGGGATGTCATGACATCTGGGTTGAGGACACTCGATAAAGGTAAAGGTTTCCCTTGCTCGAGAGCCAGCCGAATCCGACTCTAGGGGGCAGTGCTCATCTCTGTTTCCAAGCCGAAGAGCCAGCACTGTCCAAAGACTTCTCCATGGTCGTGTGGCCGGCATGACTAAATGCCGAGGCACATGGAATACTGTTACCTTCCCACCAAAGCTGTACCTATTTATCTACTTGCAATTTCTTGCGTTCGAACTGCTAGGTTGGCAGGAGCTGGGGCCAGAGACGGGAGCTCACTCTGTCACATGGCACTCGGGTCTTGAACTGCCAAGCTACTGACCTTCCGGTCTGCAACTCAGCATCTTAACCTCTGAACCACCGTGACCCCCTAGCATTCACCAAAACACTTTGGGTAAACTATAGTTTTTGGCAAATCCCAGAGCGATGGCCGTGATGACATGACATCAAATAGCACTGTCATTTTTTTTATGGTTCAGCTCCTCCTCTAGAGTTTCTGCAATTAAATCTCCAAATAGGAAGTTGATGCATCTTGTCTCTAGGGCACATCCATGTTAATGCACGTGCATGAACCCTGAGGTGCGTGGCCCAACACTTCCCACGTACTACAGCTACTTGGGTGTTCCTTAATACGTCAGTAAAGGGTTGTAGGATCAGGGCTCTTTTTAATAGGCCACACCCCTGCCAGTACAGCTCATTAGCACATTAGGACGCACCCCCATGTTGCCAGAAGTGTGGTTATCCAGCCACACCCACCTTTTGCTTCTTATTCTGTTTACCTTGTTTGTTGTCAAAACCCAGGGCTTTTTTTGTAGCAGGAACTCCTTTGCATGTTAGGCCACACACCCCTAATGTAGCCAATCCTAATGAGTTTCTGCTGTTGGGTGTGCCCTATTATGCTAATGAGTTCCTGCTGGGCGTGGCCAACTTGGGAGCCAGCCGGAACTCCGTTCCTGTGCGTTCCTGCCCAAAAACAGCCCTGTGTAGGATAATGTCTTTCTAGTACATTTTTTAACCAAATAAGACCCACCCTCATGGCTCAGTGGACGTTAGGGCTGCTGCAGACAACACCAACACAGCAGATGGCATGCAACCTTCAGCCACAGGCCATGGTGATAGACAGGCCTTTGACCTACGGTCCTTGGTAGGAGTGTAAGGGTATTTATTTATTCACTTTTCAAATTTATATTCCACCCTCCCTGCGAATAGGCTCAGGGTGGATCACAACAAATAATTAGACCATTCGGCATCACAGAAAACACAAAAATAAATAGTTAATTAAAACACATTAGAGCAAAACATTAAAAACCAATTGCACCAATGGTTGCACAGCCGCCAATACTGGTGCCGCTGGACTCTTCAGCTTGTTTAATCTGGGCCGCGTGGAAGTGGTGTCTTCAGCAGGGGAGGCTGATCTTTTTTACTGGATGCCCACCGCCTCAGACAAAGGTCTGGCGGAACACCTCTGTTATACAGGCCCTGCGGAACAGTTGGAGGTCCCCGCAAGGCCCTGATCTCTTTTGGGAGCATGTTCCACCAGGCCGGGGCCAGGGCAGAGAAAGCCCTGGTCCTGGTCAAGGCTAAACTGACGTCTCTCGGGCCGGGGACAGCCAGCAGATCTTGATCGGCAGAACGCAAGGCTCTCGGGGCACATATGGGGAGAGGCAGTCCCTTAGGTTATGTCAGTTTCAAAGCGCGCCCTTATTTTCATCTGTGAAACCCTGGAGGGTATTCGAGACTACTGACGACCACAACGGAGGTCAACGGAGCGCATCCTGGTGGCCAGTACAACATCGAGCGGCTGAGGCGGATGGTGACGGGGGTGGAACCGGAAGGCGCGGCAAAACGTGGAAGCGCAGGCGCAGTGGAGCCAAACATGGACAGAGCTGAAGCCGGAATGGACACAGGACCGCGCACTAAGAACGGACCGCCGGAAAAAGAAGCCACCACGATCCATCTCTGACATCAGACAGAAAAACGCCGACCCGAAGACCACCGGGAAGACCTCATAAGAAGACCTCGCAAGAAAGAAGCCGAGCCAGAGAAACAGCAATGCCCACCTCCAGGGTGCCGGTAGGCAGCCCCTCCCCACCCACTATGTGGCCGTAGTTAGGGATAGCAACATTAGAAACCCCTGTAAACCGCCCAGAGACCCTCCGGGGTCAGGGCGGTATAGAAGTCGAAGCTATGAATAAATAAATAAATAAAACAACAGCTCCTTCATTTCTGCCTCTCTCCTGCCAAGCAAACCTACCGATAGACTTGCGGGGTTCAACCAGCTTAGGTATTCGCTCAGATGATTTCTCCTCGCCGTTGGTCATAATTGGCGAAAGGGGTTCTTGCTGTTCTGCCAGAGGAGAACCTGGAGAGGGGGGGAAAGAACGTGAAAAAAGAAAAATGACAGTTCTTGGTATACAAAGGGGGGGACGACAGCAAGATTCAAGCCCAGTAGCACCTAGAGACCAACGAGATCTTCAGGGTATAAGTTTTTCAAGAGTCAAAGCTCCCTTCATCCTTTAAGAGTATGGGAAAACAGGACTCTTCCCACCAACACAGGGCTCTTTCCCATGGTACTCTTCCTTGACTACAAGTGTGGAACTCAGCGTCCTGATAACTGTGTGTGCTTGTTTTTATAACCAGGTTTCTAGCCTTCGTGACTTTAACAAGACGGCCTATTTCACATACAGATTTTTAGCATTCAGATTTTCATAAGGGAAAGGGGAGGGGAGGGGGGGTGCTGGGCAGATGTAAGGGAACCGTCGCTGGTCTCAACCAAAGGCCTGGCGGAACATCTCTGCCTTGCATGCCCTGCACAATGTAGTCCTTACCCCTCTCTCAATGGTTAGCGGAAGCAAAGGTCGATTCGGGGGGGATCGCGGGGGATCGCAGTTCCCCCGGGTGAGGTACGGGGGGCGGGGCACATGACGAAGCCCCACCCCCTGCTTCCGGCTGCCCCGCTTCCGGCCCTCATTCAGCCAGGAGGAGGCAGGAGAAGAGGGAGGGGAAGTTGCTTCCTCCCTGCCTCTCCCCACACCTGCCTGCCTGGGGCCAGGGAGGGCCTTGGCGGGGCTTTTGGGGGTGGAGCCTGAGTGGTGGGTTTAGATTCAGAGGAATTAGCTGTGTTAGTCTGTTGCTGCAAAATAGTCCAAGAGTTCAAATAGCACCTTTAAGATTAACCTTTAAGACTAAGACTAACTGAGTGGTGGGTGTGGCCTTATGACACACTTCCGGTGATGTCAGGGTGTGTGGCATATGCTAATGAGTTCCCCTAGCTCTTTTTCTACGAAACGACCCCTGAGCGGAAGCAAAAGTTGTACAACACGCACACTTGGGCCCACTTCAGAGGAGAGCTGAGCTGGTCTGCCGTAGAAGAACTACAATCCAGTCCAGCAGCATCTTAGAGAGCAGCAAGATATTTCAGCTATAAGCAATTGCGAGTCAACACTCCCTTCGTCAGATACACTGGTATCTTGTTTTTGAGCTGTATAGCAAGTCTACGCTGTCGGAATCATCTTTCAAGAGCGACGGGTCTTGTCTAGAGAAAAGGAGTCACACAGAAGGAGAGATATGCGAGAAGGATCAACACACACACCCAGTGGGGGAGACCCTGGCTCAGCCACGCTTGAGGTATCACTGTAGGAGCTGGGTGTCTGTTCCAGCACCCGCTTCCGCACGCTGCCCTCGGAGATCTTGCTGTGTGGGCGACGCTTCTTGTTCTTCACCAAGATCCGGCCCATCAACTCCTGGGGACTTGGCAAGGCTACACCGGGCTGTAACTGCAAGTGGAGAAGAAAGGAAAAGCTTCATTAGGCGGGTAAAGATCCATGCAATAGTGACTGCCTTTGGGAGGCTAAGAGGTACCTGGGGCCCTCTGTGATATTTTGGATCCCTTTCCTGAATTTTCAGCATTTTTAACCATATCTGAGAGTTCACACAGCATAGTGGAAAAGAGAAGGAGCCAGATGTCTCGCGGGGCAGTTTGGGGAAAGCCACGCTGCTATAGCCTCAGCTCTCCCTTCTGCAGCATGGTAATACTGAGCACATAGAAGAAGAGGAGATTGGATTTATACCCCGTCCTTCTCTACCCAAGGGCGTCTCAGAGCAGCTTACAAACTCCTTTCCCTTCCCCTCCCCACAACAGGCACCCTGTGAGGTAGATGGGGCTGAGAGAGCTCTGACAGAAACTGCTCTTTTTCAAGGACAGCTGTGCCAGAACTATGGCTTGCCCAAGGTCATCCAGCAGGTGCAAGGGGAGGAGTGGGGAATCAAACCCAGTTCTCCCAGATTAGAGTCCGCACACTTAACCACTTCACCAAACTGGCACGCACTTAACCACTACACCAAACCTACCTTACAGGGGTGTTAGAGAGAGCAGATCAGGAGGAACACCACTGCCACTTTTCCCAGTTTGGTGTAGTGACCAAGAGCGAGAACTCTAATCTGGGAGAACTGGGTTTGATTCCCCACTCCTCCACATGCAGCTGCTGGTGTGACCTTGGGTCAGTCATAAATTCTCTCGGAGCTGTTCTCTCAATGGCAGTTCTTGAGAGAGCTCTCTCAGTCCCACCTACCTCACAGGGTGTCCGCTGTGGGGAGGGGAAGGGATTGTACACCGCTGTGAGACTCCTTCAGGTAGTGAAGGGCGAGTATAAATCTAATCTCCTCCTCTTTTCTTCCTATCTCAGGTATACATCTTTGGCTCATGCCAAAGGGGAAGAAACAAAGGGCTCTTGGCCCTTGGGTCTCGGCCTGCAGCTTGGGCCCTGCAGTATGGACAACTGGCCTGCTAAATCCCGGACCACGCACAGGATATAGTTTACTCCTGTTCTCTCTTTTTTATGTGTACTCCTGTTGTCTCTTTTTTAATGCATAAAGTGCATTTCTTTTACTGTGCCCAATTATATTTTTATTAGTTATAAGCTGCTTTGGGTCCCGACAGTGAGAAAAGCTGCCAATACTCTAACTTTTAAGCATCACAACCAAAAATTGTACGTTAAGTGCTCTGAAATCTGAAAATGCTATGCAAATGCTAAGTATTAGTATGCAGAGTCTAGATCGTTTATCTATGGAGGACACAAAACACACACACATCCAAGGTGACATTCTGCCCAGCTGCACGGTAAGGATGCAAGGTTTTGTTTATATATTTAAAACATTAGCTGCCTTTCTACCTTGCCGCACTCAAGGCAGCTTACAATATAAATAAAACAACAGTTCTAAAACACGTTAAGAGATGACAGTTTAAAATCTCGGTGAGGACTGCCAATGAAAACTAAATCAGTCAAATGCAATCCTAAATAAAACTGTCTTCAGGAAAGTTGTTCCAGCTTTCCAAAACTCTGACTAAGGAGAACCAAGGCATTTTTGGATACACGACAAGCACTCGGGTGCTACTTTGCTTAAATTATCTCCCTAACCTAGATGGGTCTGCAAGCAGACGTACTAGGGAGCATGGCTAAGGAAACAGGGCTTCTTCTTTCAGCAAAGTCAAGGCTCTGGAACTCCCTGCCACTGGAGTTCTGCCTTGCTCTGCTTGCTGGCTTTTAGGGGTGAAAGATTTATACGATCTGAAGAGAAACCAGAATATAGCATCGCTGGCCTTTTGGTAAATGGTTCTTACAGTTCTTGTTCACAGGACCTTGGAGACTGATAGAACGATGTATATTTTTCCTGCTGGCAAGTGGTTTTCAGCATTTTGCCCCTAACAAAGGCTTACATGTGAAGCCTTAGCTTTTTTACAAACAGACCTACAGAAGCACTTTGGGTAAAAGGTAGAGCTATACATGTTTAATAAAATACCCTCAGGTAACCATGTGTTGATGAATTATCTCCTGTAAGGAAGCATACTCACCTTGAAGATTTCTCCCGTGTGTCAACTTCACCCTGGCTCTGACTTTTATATGCTGCACTCTAGTGAATCTAGAAGCTTTTCTCTCCAGTTTACTTTCCTTCCCACCCATCCGATACCACTGAATCCTGGCTATGTGGTCCTTAGGGGAATATTACACCCCCACAAGAAAATATCTAATGCAAAGCCTTCCAGAAAACCCATCCAAAAAACCCCCCCCCCCCCCCCCCATGGGAGAAAGAACAGGAGGAACTGTGGTTTCCTACCTAGGTAGTGCTTACTACTAGATGGGTAGGTAACGCGAGATAAAATTCTCTTAAGATGCTCCATGATGGCAGTGTTGAAAATAGCTGGATTTAAGGGGAAGATACCAGAACAAGCACAAATTGGAGGTGTCACAATGATAACATGGTCATTTTAAAAACATGGATGGAGGCACCTGACGATCGCTCTGGAACTGGAACTGGCTGCCTTTTTGCTAAACTGAAAGTGTGTTTTGTAAGCTGTTTGAGACAAAACTGCAATTTGTGCTATTTATTTCTGGCATTTTTCACGGACTGCCTTGTTATGCTGTCATGCCCAGATTGGGTAGTATCAGAGTATCAGGACTCAAGAGGCTCTTGGCATGGAGAGCACTTTGCAGAAAACAGCTCCTCCTCCTTTGGAGGGTTGTAAGCGGAGGCTAGATGGCCATCTTGACAGCCGTGCCGGTTCTATGACTCACTATGAATTTAAGCAGATCGTGAGAGGGAGGACAGGAAGGGCTAAAGCCAGTGCTCAGCTCTCGTGGCCCTGTCTCACACACCCAGGGTAATGCCGATCGCCACTTTGGGGTCAGGAAGGAATGTTCATCCAGGCCAGACTGGCTTTTTGCCTTCTTCTGGACATAAAATCAGGGGCCACTGGAGGAGTTTGAGGAGGAGATATCTGTGAATTTCCTGCAGGGGGTTGGGCTAGATGGCCCTTGGGGTACTTTCATCGGTTTCTATGTTTCTCCTCCTTAGGGGTTTATGTACACTATCCAGATTTACTCTACTCGGTCAATTCTTCAACTGTCAGGAGGAGACCTCACACCCAGCTCCAAGTGGATCATGGACTCTTTTGACAGGATCTTGTTTTTGCTCTGTGCTCTGTAGTGTTATGTAACGTGACACACCTTTTGCCTGAGGAAACTGGGCCTTCTAGATGCTCCACAGTAGCAGAAGGGGAAGGAGGGAAACAGCTGTCTGTAGCTCTGGGTGCGTTTATTTAATTCATCTGTACTCCTCCCTTTCTCCCCAGTGAGGACCCAAAGCAGCTCATGTCACTCTCCTCTCCTCCATTTTCTCCTCACAACAACCCTGTGCGGTAGGTTAAGGCTGAGAATTTGTGACTAGCCTCAAGATCACCCAGTGGACTTCTGTGGTACAACTCAGGATTCCAACTTGGGTTTCCCAGATACCAGACTAACGCTCTTAACCACTACACCAACTCTGCGCCAGCTAAATGGGCCACTTCATGCATCTGTGAAGGGGACTCTGGCTCACAAAAGCTTATTGGATAATAGACTCATAGACTTGGAAGGGATCTTCAGGGTCATCTAGTCCAACCCCCTGCACAATGCAGGAAATCCACAAATATCTCCCCCGCACACACCCTGAGTGACCCCTGCTCTATGCCCAGAAAGGGGGGGGGGAGGGACAAAACCCCTCGAGGATCCCCAGCCTAGCTGGCCTGGAGAACAACAGCTTCCTGACCCCCAAAGCGGCAAGCAGCATTTCCCTGGGAATGTAAGAAAACGCTACAAGAGCTAAGCTCTGATGCAACCCTCCCTTCTTGTGATCTGCCTAAGTTCGCAGGATCAGCAGTGCTGTCAGATGGCCACCTAGCCTCTGTCTGAAAACCTCCAAAGAAGGAGAGCCCACCACCTCCTGAGGAAGCCTGTTCCACTGAGGAACCGCTCTGTCAGGAAGTTCTTCCTCATGTTTAGCCGAAAACAGGGGTCATTTCGAAGAAAAAGAGGTGCAGGAGCTCATTAGCATAACTTATTTGCATAACTTATTTGCATATGCCACACCCCCTGACATCACCGGAAGTGTGTCAGAAGGCAACACCCACCGCTCAGGCTCCACTGGACTGTTTTGGATTGCTAGCTATTGGAGGGGTGGGGAAGGTGCAGATCTGTCCTCACAGAGGAGGGAGAGCTTGTACCTAAATAAAACTTGGTCTTAAAGGTGCCACTGGACTGTTTTGGACGGGGGGGGGGCAGGGGGAGCTCTGCAACTTACCTGGCTGCTTCTTGCTCTGACTGAGGGCTGCTGGGAGCAGGGGGTGGGGCTGGTTGCATGTGCCCACCCCCTGGGCTCTTGACTGCCGGAGCTCCGCTCCTTTGCGCTCCTGCAGGAAATGACCCCTGCCCGAAATCTCTTTTTGAGTCAACCCATTGGTTTAATATTTATATTTATTTATTTATCACATTTATACCCCACCCTGCCAGCCGAGGGAGATTGTTAAACCTTTAAGGTGCCTCAAAGACTCTTGTTGCTTTGCTTTGTTATGGTCTCTTACCAACACAGTGAACTTCATCAAGTCCAACGTGTGCTCCCTTACTAGATAATTCAGATTATAAAAGCATGCGGTTTGACTGTTGGACGGAAATCAAAAGCCCTAAAAGCGGAAGAGGTCCACACACATCTGCGCAGTAATGTGCAGAACTGGGTGAAAAATAAAATGATTTTTTAAAGTACTTTGCAAAGAAATGCCTGGGTTGTGGGACACACCGGATATTTTTCCAAGGGATCAATGAGCAGAGCATCCCCAAAGGTGTTTCGGCAATACTCCGCCATCTTTGCCTGCTGCTTTGCCCTAGGAAAGAAGACACAGAGGGAGGATTACCCGGGATCGATGCTCCCTCTAAGCTGCGGAGTCTTGTGAGCAAAAATTCTCCTTTGTGAGCTACTGGCATTAAAGTTGTGAGTGGATGATTTGGCTACTGCATTAAATTAGTTTGCTTTGGAGCCGTTCTTCCTGAGCTAAGACAAAAATGAGTGAGCTGGAGGCTAAAAAAGTAGCTTAGAGGAAACACTGCCAGGGATGCAGGCCTCCATCTTCTCCCAGTTACATGGGACTAGGAGATGATGGCATGGAAGAGAAAGGGCATCAAAACACAAATTGCTGCAAAGTTCTTACAGTGAAAAAGATGGACAGTAATAGACTATAAACAAGGGGGGGACCCGCGATACTCGCGGGAGAGGGGGAACTCCACAACTATGAGGAAGAGGAGGAAGCAGCAGGAGGAGGTAAGTTCCCCCCCTATCCCGCCGGTTCTCCTATCTCCTCCACCCCCATCCACCCCCTGGCTCAATTACCCCCCTGCCCTGGAGCGCCCCCCCTCCAGAGGCCAGGTCTACCCACCCCTTCCCACTACAGTGGTAGACCTGGCCTCCGAAGTCCAGGTCTACCCACACCTTCCTACAACAGTGGTAGACCTGGCCTCCGAACTCCGCAGGCCAGGTCTACCCACCCATTCCCACTACAGTGGTAGACCTGGCCTCCGAACTCCGCAGGCCAGGTCTACTCACTTCTTCCCACTACAGTGGTAGACCTG